CTTGATGCGCAAATCCGCAAAAACCACATATTTTTTCCAGTCAAACGGAGGTTTCAACAGAAATGGCTCCCCAAAACCCGGGCGCTGAAAAACACTGAAATATACTCAGTCATGCTGATCCATGACGACTGGATCATTCTGGGTACCCTCTGGTAAACATACAAGAAACTATGGAAAATCAACATTTTTAATGGGAAAATCCACTATTTCGACTGGGCCATGTTCAATAGCTATGTTAGTTTACCAGAGGGTACCCCAAATGACTCTGCGCAACTCCCGGAACTCCCCCGGGCCGTCCACAGCGTCACCATGCGCCTCCTCTCCAAGAATTCCATCGTGCTCCACCGGCAGTAGCTGATACTTGCCGCTCGACTCCGAGAGAAACCTTTGGACACTTTCCGGCGCCGGTGTTGCTTTGGTGAATGGGGCTTAAGTGGTAAATGTCATGGGTGATATATATATATATATATATATAGCAGTTAATGTCATGGTTGATATAGTGGTTAATATAGTGGATGATATAACGGTTGATATAGTGGTTATGTGATGGTGGTTTATGGTGGATGCTCGTTAATGGTGATTCTAAAATAGTGGTTAATAGGACTATTAGTGGTCAATTGATGTCAATTGTGAGACTCTCCACTGGAGCCTCATTGGTTGAGAATTGTATGAATCTTAAGTGGTTCAGCTCAAAAATCGGTTGAGTCTATTGAAAATTGAAACTTTTTTCTGAACTCCATTGGAACCGTGGAAACTACATGTTTCTAACAGTGGTTCAAATTGAAACTGTATTTTAAAAGTTCTTCAGCTTTTGTTTGAAAATCTGTTTGAAAATTTCTTTGAAACCAGCAACCAGAGAAGTGTGGAGAATTTTTTTTTGGTACCATAAACCATCCATCAACGGTAAACATCACCGGTGGTGATCAGGGGCCCTATTTGTGGAACACATATGGGTATGGGCCAAAATTAGGTACCCCAATAATTGGATGGTTAATACTAAACTAAACTAACATCTGTGGTCCCCTAGGTCTTCCATTTTGACCCACATCCATATGCAAGTCACTGATCAAGAGTGACAAAGTGAGGTCAAATAAGTCAAATAGGTCAAATGGGAATCAGAATGAGTACAAGTCATACTGCATCATTCATCGTGGTCGTTGGTTACAAAGTTACAACCATAAAATCATATAACATCCCAAGAGTAATCATCAATACAATCACATCCCCTCATATTAAATAACCCAATGCGGGCCCCGAAAATGAACAATTCCGGTATACTGAACTAAGGTCAAAAAAGGGGGCTGGCTTGACAATGTAGTTCCCTGACTCCACCCCAGGACTTTTTTAGGGGCTAAATCAGGTATAGATAGAAGTAAAATGACTCTCTGGTTGGTGGTTGCTCTGAAAAATGATGGAGTTCGTCAGTTGGGATGATGACATTCCCAACTGAATGGAAAGTCATTAAAATTCCATGGTTCCAAACCACCAACCAGCTCTAATTTACCACCTTTGTGGCCATCATTTTTCTTGAATGGCTTGGAGCAACCCTACATCTTGTGGTAAAATCATGTAAAATCCAACCAGTTTTATTGGCGAAATCCCACTCCAAGACCTGCCGTTGCCAAAGGGCTCCTGCCCAAAAGGTGCAAAGGAGCCTGGTGCACGCAGGCTTCAAGCTGAACATTTCACATTCATGGGCCAATGGGGGTGAAGAAGCAACAGACATATTGAGGTTTTTTTTCCGCAGAAATACAAAGTTATCGAAAACTTACCCTCTGGTTATTTAACGTAGCCATGGAAAATCACCATGTTTAATAGGTAAACCATCTATAAATAGGCCATGGCTTCCATGGCTATGTTAGTCATAAGCAAAGGGTACAAGAATCAGGTCTTTATCAGGTCTTTTGCGTTGAAGTCCTTGGGGACCATCCTTTGAGTTGTTGGGGGGTCCGTCTCATCCGTCGACTTCAGGTGCTACCCCTCTGAAAAATAGAAAAACAGAAGATTTCTGCAGAAAAAAATCGCTAGTACCATATTGTTGGCCAGATTTTCTGGGGATATTCCCTGAAATTTAGGCCTGAAACATAGGCCACACATATAAATGGTAGGTACCTCCAATCAATCGGTTCCTGGGTCATGGCCATTGATGAAATAAGTGGGCGGGCCGTGTGGGCCGGCAGATTAGTCCCGTACTGGGGTGAACTAATCCAATCACGTAAATCATACGTAGCCTGTGGTAATTTACCCTCTGGTAAACTAACGGTTTACTATGGAAAATCACCATTTTTAATGGGAAAACTCACTATAAATGGCAATTTTCAATAGCTATGTTAGTTTACCAGAGGGTAACATATTGAAAATCAGCATAAGTTTATTCTAGGTAAATCATCTATAAATGAGCCATGTGAAAAATAGCTATGTGAAATTACTAGAGGGTAAGTTAGACATGTTTAATAAGCCATAATTTAGGTTCACCTCGAAGATCCCAAAGAGAGAAACCCCCTGTAACTCCGCCATTAACAGAGCCAAGTGTTCTCTGTAATCCTTTCCCTCTTGGATCAATGGGAGATCTCCAGGATCCGGTTGATTGGAGGTACTGTACCATATTTCAGGGCATATTTTCTAGGGATATTCCCTTACATAGGCCTGAAAAATAGGCCTTATATATGGTAGGTACCTCCAATCAATCGGATCCTGGAATGGCCATTGATTGGATTCAATATCCCAAATGAAGCTCAAACACCTCCATTTATAGGGGATTTTCACTGGCCACATTTGATTACTGGATGGTATTCCTATGAGAACGGCAATGGGACCTACCATTTAGTATAACTAAGATAGCCTTCGAGCTACATTCCTACAATGTGGGGCCTCCCTTCGATAGCTAAGTTGCTTTATAATTCCAATAACTATGGTTTATGATACTTATAACTTATAACTATATAGATATAGTTAATTGGGTTTATAAACCAAATTATAACTGGGGGTGCCCACATTGTATCATTATAAATTATACATAAATGGTAATCATGCCAGGATATGATTGCGGGATTGGCATTCCCATCCGCTCGAAAACACAGCTGACACTGCCTAAGGTCACGAAAGGCTTTGCCATCCATGCGACCGTCAGCGAAATTTCTTGTGATGCTACAAGGCAGTGCCCCATGAAAAGGTAAGCTAAGTTGGTTTTGATTTTACCAAGAAAAATTGTGTTATTTGGTGGTAATCAATGGGATTTAGCTATCTAAGTTGGTTTCAAACTCCAAATTGACTCCGACAACGCTTGGGTTTATGGTAGATAAGAAATAGGTAAGGTAGTAGGTAGATATGTCATGATAAGGGGCAATACAAACCATTTTCTTTACGGTATCATCTTGTAACAGCAGGAAGAATCTACCGTGAAAGCCGTGAAGCCCAGGGTGCCCAGGAGACTACTGTTGGACATGGTGAGGTGTAGCTTCCTGACCTTTCCTGCAGAAAACTCTGTTCACATGCTGAGTTTAAGCAGTCCACTGGTCCTCAAATTTTGTCCGACTTAAGCTCCTTGGGGGCAAGGTAAACACATTCACCATGCTTCAGGCGGGTGCATATCGTTCGATATGTCTATGCGCCTCAACTAGCAACTCCCCCTTGACCCGAAAAAGGCGGCGCTTCACGGCGTGAGGAAAAACACATCTTTTTCAGCCTGCAAAACTACAGTCCTGAGTCGTATTGTTCCACAGAAAAAACGACAACCGTATTCACCTTGAAAAATCCCAAGGTCAACCCACTTGGTGGCTCATCCCACTTAGTAAGTAGGTTATAACCCCAGTTATAAGTGGATTAACCCTACTTATCCCATGTAAATCGCTGGGGTTATAACCTACTTACGAGCCGTGGGATGAGCCACCAAGCAGAAAACCACCTTCTCTGAGATCCCTCATGTCGAGCAACTTTTGGCAACGCTGCGCTCTTCAAAACATGACATCGCAGCCCATTTGCGGCGCTGCAGTGAGTATATTGGTGCCATGATGAAGTCCAGTACCAATCCCAAAGGATCAGAGTCCAATTTCAATTGGCAAGGTGAGGCCCCTCAGTGATGCTTATCAACCCATGACTACTATAGCTGGTTGGTGGTTGACCTACCCCTCTGAAACATATTAATATGAAAGTCAATTGAGATTATGACTTCCCAATATATGGAAAAATGTTCCAAACCACCAACCTGTTACTATAGGATACAAATGGATACTAAAGGTATATCATGGTATATCCCCCCAGTTTATCCCGAGGTCTCACCTTGAAAGGGGTGCCACCGGATGTTTTTTCCCATGAAGTGTGTCATAAGCCCCAAAAAGAAGTGAGGATATCCCATGGGGTCTAAAAGGTGTATCCACTGAAGCCTTAGGTTTCTGCATATCCAACCGTCCACCATGGCATCACTGCTATGCATAAAGGGTCTCTGCCGTGCACCAAAGCGCAAGACAGGTCCCAAGTCAGGATGGTATCTAGCACAAGAAGTCTCGAACCAAGCCCCCGATCTGACCCTAAAATTCTGCAAGCCATGTTGCTTAACTGGTTGGTGGTATACCTACCCCTCTGAAAAATGTGAGTTCGTCAGTTGGGATGATTATTCCCAATCTATGAAAAAAAATAAATGTTCCAAACCACCAAGCAGCTTTAAAATCGATCAAAACGCTTTCAAAACATCAAACCACTCGCCATGCCCCATGGCTCCGATCTGTCATCTGGGGCTATGTTTTGACCATCTTTGCCTCGTCATCGGGGTCTGGGGTCGGGATATACACCGTATTTATAGGAGAAAAAAACTACCGTGGATCGCGGATCGAATCTTGGATCTGCATCTCGAAATGGATGCAACTGGTACGTGACCAGGGTTAATTCTGTATACTGTATGGGTGATTTTAAATTCCTACGTTCAATCAGTTATATGAGAATATATATGATATGCGGGCATACATATGTGCATATTATGTTCATTACGTGCACACTGCTTCCGGCGTGGGATGCACATCCAAGATAAGAGACTGAGACTGATGGCTGATGAATCAGTACCCAAAGACAACCAAAGAAGCAGCCATCACAGCCATTCCAACCTAAGCGTCAGTCCATGTGCGGGGAAGTATGGACCCATATGGACCTCAGACATCAGGTTTTTCTATGTTTGGATGGGGTTCTAAGTTTGGTTCAACGTGTTTGTTTGAACCTCGTTGAACCAAACTTAGAATCCCGTTGAAGTTCACTTTTTGGGGGTGAGGTTGTTGCTATGTGACTTTGAATATGGTATTTTTCGGCAGTTTCTCCTCATACAAAATCGATCTGCAGCTCCTGAAATTCCGGCCAAATGACGGGAGGTTTTTCACAACGGGAGGTATATTACCTGGTTGGTGGTATACCTACCCGTCTGAAAAATATGAGTTCGTCAATGGGAAGGATTATCCCATATATTATGGAAAATAAAACATAATAAAACATGTTTGAAACCACCAACCAGTTGCACTCTGTACCCTGCAAACAATCCAATCTTCAGCTGGTTAGTGCATATCTACAGCGAAAAATTGAAGTGCTAAACTAGCCCAAGGGTTACCCAGGCTTACCCTCTGGTAATTCAACATAGCCATGGAAAGTGCCCATATTTTATTCAATGTTTTACCTATTAAGATTGGTGATGTTCAATAGCTGCGTTAAATTACCAAAGGAAAAACACATATTAAACGAATGCAAGCAGAGATTTCGAGTGACATTCAACGGAAAATCTGCTGTTCGAAGATTTTGGAGGGTTTCGTCGGAAAAGTAGTTGGTTTATTAGCACACTAACTGGGGTGTGGTTGATGGGTGCATCATTATATATAAAATATATGTACAATAGTTGGAAGGGGGTTATGACATCCAATAGTTTGTGACTCGTGGGCCGTTTTCCTGCAGTCAGTGCCCAATTTATGCACAACCTAATATGTGTAAATGGGTATATCCCATCTACAAACAGTGTATAGGAGCATGGCTAAGTGGGATATGATTCCAAGTACGATCTCATATTAGAGTCAATTTATAGTTTCTCCATAGAGGGTGCGTCAAATGTAACAAGAGTTTCAGGCAAAAACACACAACAAGTTCTACAAAGTGGTGCCCCTGCCAGATATGAGCTGGTTTGTTACCCCCCCATGAATGAACCATAGATATAATTAACCCCAGTGCTCTTAGCTATAGTGAAACTTAGCTAACAAACAGGGGCACCACCTTGAATAAATGTTGCTCCCAGTTGCAACACATTTCATATCCACTCAGGTTTGTTGCTAAAACATTGGTCATACACGATTGATCCAATCACTTTAATATCAAATGCCTTCAAATGAGCGGGACCCCAAAATGAATAGATCCACTAAACCAAGGAAGACACAAATTAACATGTAATGAAGGTAGTTGTAGCTAAAAGTATATGTTCTTCCAATGAATTCATCACTAACCATTGCCTTTGCTGCTTATAGTTGGCAAGTCGCGGATAATTACTACCATGATCTACCATGTTTCATTCGCCGGATAGAGCATTTCGCTATTCATGACAAAACGTCAGCCTACATTAACCTCGGTTAACCCCTGCAATCGACTTGCTGATGATTTGAGGCCCACCATGGCCCACCAAACGATGAACAATGAATAACCGGACACTCAAAAAGGGTCAACTAATTTGATCTAGTGCTGGCAGCATAGATTCCTCTTCACGGCCAGAAAACAAGGGAATCGGCTGACTTGCCGCCCTGCAACTGTCGACATCTTCTTTTCATTTTCAAGATAAAATGATGAACACCCAGTGTTATTTTTTTAACGTGTTTCATCTGGAAGTCATTTATAAAGAGAGTATCATGTTGTACTGCGTGGGCTACGTCAAAATAAACGAACTGGTATTTCGTGCATGCGAAGCTATCATTTTTTGATCACATTGGGAAAAAGTTTGGAAGTGCCTGTTGATCCTAACATATCCGACAACACATCACATGCCCAAACGGATTAAAGCATCTTTTCTCAACTCTGCCACAAGCATTCGGGAAACATCAAACAAATCCTACCGCAGCATCCAAGGCATGTGCGAGCGTAGCAACATATTTGTTACCGTAGCGGCTGTAGCGTCGCGTAGGTGTGCAAGTGCCAAGGGACGTTATTAGCCCCACCCCACCCCATCTCTAGCTCAGCATCACGTCGGTGTGCAAGTGCCAAGGGATCTTATTAGCCCTACCCCACCCCATCCCCACCCCATCTCTAACGTAGCATCACGTAGGCGTGCAAGTGCCAGGGGACGTTGTATTGGCCCACCCCACCCCACTCCGTCGTACCATGACCGAATCATACCTTGCACAACATCGAAGTATACAAGAGCAAAATTGACAACCCTTCTGGGGCAGCGAGTCAGCCGATAGCCGAAAACAACTCATTGAACTACCCTTCGCCAAAGCCCAGAAAATGCCACCAATTTCTGGGAAAAACTGTCACAGCTGAGGCGCAAAGAAGGAGTACGCGGTGTATTTGTTCCTGACCACAGCCGCAGAAATGAAGCATGACCAAACATCACAAGGTGCCCCAAAGTTTAGCTAAGTTGTTTTGCTAGCAGGTAAATTTAGGGTAGATATATCATGATATATCCTTGAAAGGGGGTATAAACCAAGTTATGGGGGCAACACACTGCAGGGGTCTCTCCACCTTTTTTGAATGGCAATAATAATCCTTAGGTTTCTTGGAATTCACATGGTGAAACCATACAAGGTGATGCCACTCAGTTATAAGTTGGTTTATAAACCATAGTAAGATCATGATATATATATATATATTATATATTATATATATATTATATATTATATATATATCACCTATAAACCATAGTGAAATTGGAGTTATTTGCACCAACTTAGCGATTTCGTTAACGGGGACACCACCTTGTAGGTGTTAATTCAGCCTGCACACGAACGACTCTTCTTCGGATTCGAACAAAACCTGCCAGGTTTGCTGGTTCCTTTTCTCGCCAGATTCGGTGTGAGAGTTCAATCCTGGAACCCCTACTCAACAGATGGCTTTGTGGTTAAACCACTGTGCATTTCCTGTTGTTGTTGTTGTTGTTGTTGTTGTTGTTGTTGTTGGGGATCACTAATATACCATGGCCAATTTGCGCTTTACAAAACCCGACTTCGGATAGTTACCCTGCGATAAACGAACATGTGGAAAGCCTAATGGTTTTCGAAACCCGATCTACAAATAGTGGATTCTCCACATCTATAGCCACTAAAATGTTCATGGGATGGTGACTGCTGTGACCTCCTTACCCTTGACCTGCAAATTCCAAGCTTCTCCGGATCATATTTCAGCGCAGTCGGCAGTAGCTTCTGGAAGGAAATGTGGATCTTGCGCGGCAAAAAAGGTGGACGTTCATGGTAGTCCCTTGCCCCAATCATATTAAATTTATTATATAAACAAAAACCAATAAGAGACTCACAGTTCAAATAGACCAAATAGATACCACAGAGTTATTAAACCAGGGTTTCGCTGGTATTAAATATTAGGGGGAAGGGATTATGCGGAACCTACCAAAGATGGCATGTATAGAGTCTGTATGATCCTCCATGTTAAGAAACACCCATCTTGTAAGGTTTCCGCAGGGTCCAAACGTTTCACATCACGCGCCGCCAGTGTCCGTTGGCGCACCATGACACCACCGATGATGCCAAAGAGAATGGCAAAGGTCACTGGGCCAACTATCTCCTGCCGAACTTTAGAAACTGGAAGTTTGCTGGGTTTGTCCAGAGTTTTTCATGGTTATTGCGTCGAATTTGATTGTATGGTTTTCAGTCTGATGTCTCCCATTTTAATATATGGACTTTACAAGAACATGAAATTCCAATTTGGGATTACTTCTTGCTTCATCCCAGAAATTCTAAGTGACAACTCGTGTTGCTGATTCCTTGGCTTTCCGGCCGGGTCGACTGACTTAGCCGTATCTGTTGGAGATGAATTCGAAGAATTAGATCCCCAAGATTATTCTGGTTAGTGGTTGACTCTACCCCTCAGATAAATATGAGTTCGTCAGTTGGGATGATGACATTCCCAATCTATGGAAAAATAAAAAATGTTCCAAACCACCAACCAGTATTTGATGTGAACAATAAGGACATTCACCCCTGATGAACATGTGCTGGAAGCCAAGCTCAAAAAACTCAATGAGTCGAAGTGAAGAAATATGGTTTCTACCATGCAGGCTGGTGCCCCCTAGTCAGAAGTTGGTTTATAAACCCCATTAACATCCATTAACTATATAGTTATATCTACCATAAACCATAGAATTCAGCCACTTATAAGGCTACTGAACGCTATCGACTGGGGGCCCCATCCTGTGGGTTTTACCTTCAAATAGAGTGGTTTCCTGAGTTCCTGCGCTACGGGATGGCTCGTGTTACTTCAGCTATCAGCTATTCAGGTCATGTTTTTTCGTATCCACAATCATACTGACAAAGAGTTCGGGCAAACAAGTGTGAATAGTGAATAGTATCCAACATTTACAACTCAACCAGGTGCAACCATATACATCATAAAATAAAGCTGTTGTGAAAAACAAGAACAACTTCGATCTATCAAAATCTATGACAGAATGATTTGAAATCCTCTGAAACAAATGGTGAACTAATTCACAACAGCCTTCTCTCCAGCCTTCTCCACAGCTCTCCTTCAACACCAGCCATGCCAAGAGACCACCTAAAGGCTCGGACATTCCGGACAGGAAGGCCCAGAAAAAGGCCTTGCCTGGGCACCGGGCAGGGAAGACAGGGGTGCCAAAGGCCTGACGGCCTTGCACCGCTCGATGTTTCTGAATTTCGGCATTTTCACGAAGTAATGCTGATGCCTCTGCTGAATGAAACAAAAACACATGCCTCTGCTGATAGTTGATGGGCTAAAGAAAAACACTTTTTCGGATTTGAGTGTGATTTATGTAACCAACCAAAAAATGAAACAAACATATTATACAGGGCTTGCTTGGATGGTTGATGGGCTAAATTTGTGAATTCCATCAATTCCATCCCCCCAGAAAAGGAAAACAATGTGCAACACTAGAAACAGCACATTCCAGAAGAATACCCTCTGGTTACCTGACATAGCTATGGAGAATTGCCCATTTATAGATGATTTATGATGATTGGTGCTTTTCTGTGGCAAACCGTTAAATAACCATTCATTAGAATCTGTGCGTTTCATACACCCAACAAGGCTACCATGTCCATAAACGCCACTGCCAGGTTTCCGTCATATTTTTCAGATTCAGGGTTCCAGGATGTTTAAGATATGAAAATCGTCAGATAATTAAACAATGGGAAAGAAGGCAATGTGAACAAACATGATTTTATCGCTGAGGCTGTGGTTTTTCACCAACATTCTCATGGCCAATCAGCCAGATACCCTGCAAAAAATAACAAATTCTTAGCTGGTGAACGCAGATAATCCCATTGATACCAAAAGACTAGTTAGGATTATATAGTTAATACCCCTCCAAGATTGACCTAGTAATTCCGATTAGAAATTTCCCATACCAAAGGATGAGTTTGTACCCATCCAGTCGATTGACCTTGGCACATTTGGCACCTTTGGCACCTAACTGAGGGATATCCCCTCACAACATACCCTCTGGTAAACGTTTACATAGCTATTGAAAAAAATGCCATAGAAATAGTGAGTTTTCCCATCAATAGCATGGTGGATCTTTCCATCGTTTTTTTGTATGTTTACCAGGCCGGGTAAACCTGGATATCCGCATCTCCCGCAGCTAAAAAAATGCCATTCTTCCATCGCTTGGACAACCCCAACTCGGGGCTGCTGTTCGGGGGGTTCAACGTGGATCCCGAAAAGACACCTGGCGATTCACCGATGAAAAAACTGAAATGTCGACCTTCCCAAGGTATACCTATGGAAAATCACAATTTTCAATGGAAAATCACATTTTTTTATGGGAAATCACAATTTTTAATGGAAAATCACCATGTTTAATGGGAAATCACCATGCTATCAATGCTATTAATGGGAAAATTCACTATAACTATGGCAATTTTCAATAGCAAACTGTAAACGTTTACCAGAGGGTAACCAGATGAGGCTTCAGAACAAGTTCTTCAACACTTGGCTAAGCTTGCGGTAAGACCCTATGGTTTGCCCGCAAGGTTATAGTTGATTTACCTATGGAAAATGGTGATTGTCCATACTTATGTAAGCGTTTACCAGAGGGTAATAACCATGGCTAGTAAGTCCCGATTTCATGGATTTTCCCATCTATAAATTATTATAAATGGGTGAACTGACCCCAGTTACGAACCACTTATGATCCCTGGGATGGTCCTCCAAGGACCACGTGCCTGTTACAAGTTTATTCTCCTCTTTGGGTGTTGGTGTTTTTCACTGCTACCCAAAGGGGTCGGTTTATAGCTAGAACTAGTAGGCTTTATGGTAGTTATATCTATAGTTACGGCAAGACCCTATGGTTTGCCCTTAAGGTTAGAATGGTGTTCAAAAATTATCCTTCACATGCTCAAAAACCTGCGCAGGGCCAGTGTTTTGGTATTTCCCAGACGACGAGCCCTAAACCCTAAACCTTAAAACCCTAAACCCTAAAACCCTAAAGCCCGAAAGCACTAAAGCCCGAAAGCCCTAAACCTAAAACCCTGAAAACTCTGAGTCCGAAAGCAGAAAACACCGCGTATACGCAGTATTTTCTGCAATTTCTCTTCTCATGTTCGAAGACAGGGAATCCGCAATGTTGCAGTCCGGGTAAACCACGGGGTGTGCGTAACCTTAGATACCCTGCAGAACAAATATTTTGTGGGCTGCTCAGTATTGACTGCAATTTATAGCAAAAGAGTAGGCAGCCCTTCAAGAGTGTGGTAAAACCAATCATAAACCATCGCCAAGTCATCACCCTTTTCTTGGGTGCTGTCAACAATGTCCAAAAGATAGGTTAGCGCACTACCAAACTATCCATCCGTGTGGCTCACCCAATCTTTGATCTGGTCTGGTTGGTGGTATACCTACCCCTCTGAAAAATATGAAAGTCAGTTGGGATGACTATTCCCAATACATGGGAATATAAAACATGTTCCAAACCACCAACCAGTGGTTAAACTTCCCATCCACTTGATTTACGCAGTACATCATCCATTGAATAGCCGCATAGCTGCGAATCTTCAGCCCGGGCAGAGGGAAAGGAACGCAACCGGAAAAATGCAGAAATAGTGCAAGTGAAATGGTGGTCAACTTCTTTCGAGGCACATACAGTTCAGACTTAGGCAGAAACATGTTCACCATGTGACCATGTGTAGACAATTACATGATTGGGGGAAATGTTTTTGCAGAAATAGGCTCCAAATGGAACTGTAGATCAGTTAGGTTTCCAACAAAAACAAATGCTGTGTTTTCTGTCACTGGGATTTGCTTCAGATGCCCCAACTTAACAAAAAAAACTCCCAGTGGGTAGCAAATTAAGATGTCCCCAACAAAAAAACCCTAAAGTACTCTTATATCTCCAAATGATTTCCCCATTTGTAGTGTTCCCATTGCCGGATTTGCCGCAAAAATCTCTTCACGACCAGGGTACACTTGGAATTCGTGGCCTTCAAGATTGGCGCAGCCACTGCCAAACCTCCCCCCAGAAAACGGTGTACAGGACGGGGCCCCCAAGATAGCTAAGGTGCCTTACAAGTGGCTTAACTATGATATAACTATAGTTAATGGGGATTAAAATGGTTGAGAAACTACTTGCGGGTGCAGTTGGGGTTAGTTTCATGGGTATAACCGTGACATTCTACGACAATAACCTCCATAAGATGCTAGCACCTGCAACAATGGTAAGATAAGCCACACACAAATTAGTGGATCCGTAGCCAAGCAACCCACTGACTAAGATTATTCCTGTTGAGGACTATAATCCCCTATAGACTAGGAGCTACAACCCCCCAACAATGACCAATCAACGATTTGTTTTAATGGCTAAAACTCTGACATTCTGACTTATTTGCATGTCATGAGTCATCACCATCATTATGGTGGAACGAACGAAAATGAGGAACATCACTACAACTAGCCGGGACTGCTAAACACCACTTACTGAATCTGCGTTCAAACAGTCGTTGACGGCCCCGAGAAAGCGAGATTTGTAAGAAAACATTATGGTGGGCAGTGGGCAATGATTACGAAACAGACCCTACTAGTAGGGGGAAACATTAACACTAAATTAGCACAGATGCAGAAAACCAATGTTTTCCGGAGGAAAATGATTCCTTAATGGTAGGTTGTCCACATAGGGTCAACTATCGCCTGCTGATTGGGGGTTGGTCTAGTTGAATTGCTTTCAACCGGGCTCATGATACTCCAAAGAGTTTGAAAGAGTGGTCCGTGTTCAAATGGATTGACTGAAAACGGGGTATACCACATAGTAGTCCTTTTGAATATGTTTAAATGGGAAACTGATAGTTAACCATTAAATTTTGGGGTTCCAAAAATTTCAGAACCCACACACGGAATTCAGGTCCCCCGGGGAAAAGCCCAAAACAAACCTGGAACCCCGCAAAAAAGAGAAAATGTAAGCATTCTGCACTATCAAAAAGAAAAGAACCATCGAGATTTCTGGTCGTTTGTGATAACAATGTGTATATATATATATATGATGCTCCGAATTCGTATAGTAGTATATATATATATACATATATAATCATGGTGAATCTTAGATACCTACCACAAAATCTAAGGTTTAGCCGGTGAATACATTTCACCGTTGATAATATGTGCTTTACTCACCAAGGTTGACCCAGTAATGTGCACTTAAAAAACAGAATTGAAACCTTCAAGTTCCATGAACTTCGCACTTTACAACGTGTGTTTGCCTTTACATTGCCAATCTGAGACACAAAAAACATATTCTTAGCTGGTGAACGTAGTGTTACCTATCTATAGCAAAAGATTAAAGTCCTAAAGTCTGTAGCCAAGGTTGACATCGTTTATTGCTCGCTGCAGAAAGGGTCCTGCATCAATAGCCTGTTAAGTCAGCCCACTGGTGGCAAAGCCATCCAGGAAGCTTCCAGATGAGTCGCTTAAATGTGGTTTGGGTTCCATCCTGTCATGTGGCAATTGCATAAGCCGAAGCACTGGTAATTACCAACTCAAAGAAACATGGCCAATCTTAGATACCCTGCAAAAAGGTAAATTTTTAGCTGGTGAACGTAGATAATCCCATTGATACCTCGATTCGCACAGCACGTCACGCTGAACACTCTCATCCCCAGCCGTCTTGGCAGGATTGAAAGGTAAGCTGGATTTCTGTCAAATGGTGCAACTGCATCCGCAAGTCTGAAAGCAAATGGAAAAATTGCTGCAGTGCTGTCAAGTACTTCACGAGTTTAGATGCAGCAAAACCGTTCAGCAATCGCTTATAATGTTGATCCTTGAACTCGCTGTCGTTCCTTTGTTGTTGCTGTGGAGAAATTTGGTTCCCTTCCAGCTATGACATGCCAAAGGGATCTGACCAACTTTGAGTCTGCTGCTTTCTTGAATCGGGTCACATCTCCAGCATGAGGACCCGGCCACCAAAAGACTAAAGGATTAAACTACCCATCTAAGATTGACCTAGCATGCATGGCCTTCACCTTGCACCCCTGGTGGCACAGATGCTTAGACATAGGGACAATGTTTGGCGTCCTGCCAAACATATGTTGTCAGCCATGCAGGCAGCGAAATTGCAATGTAGCCGATGTATGCGTAAACCTTGTGCATGCGACGATGCTGTGCTTGTCCCTGCGCCATCCCCATCATACAGAAATCTTGTGGTTGGGAGATGGCAAGTATGAAGTAATCAAGTGCCAGCAAACCCAACATTATCATGGTCAATCTTAGATACACTGGCAAAAAAAAACTTAGCTGTTGAACGTAGATAACAACACGATACCAAAAGACTAAAGGTTAAAGTACCCATCCAAGATTGACCTAGTCACCACCAAATGAAGAACCAGCGTAAAAATTAAAACCTCAAGGGCTTCAATGTTAAAGTGCCATAAACCACCTACTTTTGTCTACCTTCATAGTTCTCCACAGTTGTATCCGCTATATCAGATTCTATCTGTCCCATCTAAAAACCATTAAGAAACCTCAAATATGTAGTTACCACAAGCAGGCACCACCGGCACCACCATTTATATATATATATACACAACTACAACTACAACTACTACAGCAACAACAGCAACAACAATAATGATAATAATATGTTTGCACAGTTACACACACATATAATATATATATATGATATACATTTTGGTTAAACCTATGAATTTCAGATTGTTTTCCATTCGTAACATATATACCTGGCCACATAATTCTATATATATCCATTTGCACATATTAAATATATCATTTGGCCACATTGTTTTTCCATTTGGCCACATAATTATATACCATATGTACGTATACCATATGTATTGCAGCCAGATTAAACCATGGATTAAACCATAGAAATTAAACCATTGTATCAATGGCCATTTTAGGAACCGATTGATTGGAGGTACCTATCATATATGTTTGGCCTTATATGGGACTAACGTACCTCCATGTTAGGATCCTGAAATTCCCATTGATTCTATTATACCATTGGTATATATATATATAAAAACTCACAGGCAGATTTTTCCACGCGCGTTGCAAGTCCAATTTTGTAATAAATACATCGGAAATATCAAAACAAATCAACCGTGACAAAGGACTCACTAGTCCTTTCTTTGCAGAGAGTTTACCAACTCTCACAAGAGGCACAGCATTTCTAACTTCACGCCAAGCCGGAAGCTAGAAACACCCCTCGCGTACCCCCTAGGATCTCGCCAAGCCGAGGGTACCCTAGGCACTCAAGTACACCTGTTTTTTAACACCAAAGAAAAACAAACATCCACCCCATCACTATTTTTTTTTTGCACCAAAGCTTTTGCGCTTTCGGGCGGTGTGGGTGAGGAGCAAAAGCCAAAAGCTGAAGCATGGAACATCACCTGTTTGTTTTTAACTACGAAACGACACATCAAAAACTCACAGGCAGATTTTTCCACGCGCGTTGCAAGTCCAATTTTGTAATAAATACATCGGAAATATCAAAACAAATCAACCGTGACAAAGGACTCACTAGTCCTTTCTTTGCAGAGAGTTTACCAACTCTCACAAGAGGCACAGCATTTCTAACTTCACGCCAAGCCGGAAGCTAGAAACACCCCTCGCGTACCCCCTAGGATCTCGCCAAGCCGAGGGTACCCTAGGCACTCAAGTACACCTGTTTTTTAACACCAAAGAAAAACAAACATCCACCCCATCACTAATTTTTTTTTGCACCAAAGCTTTTGCGCTTTCCACGTCCCCCTGCCCTACGCCTCTTCAGAGGCGTTTGCTCAAGCTTTTGAAGCTGACAGGGTGTGGTCTTTGAGAAAATATTTAAAAAAGGTTGTAGGTTGACTCTAGGGATCTGAAGTTCAGTGAGAAGAGCAAGGCCTTCATTGAGATATATCCTGGCAGTGGACGCGGCGCGCCATCTGCCTGCGACCAAAAGTTGGTCAAAGCTTCCATGTTTTTGAAACCAGAAAGTAGCGCCTCCACGCCTTAAACTGTATGGTCGGAAATCATATGTCTGGAGCTGCAACGAATCCAGGGCTTGGCTAAAAAAAATTCGCCAAGCATGCTCGCTAACAACTAACTTGGTTCTTGGCTGAACACATTGTTTCCATGCCCAGACCCAATCTTGAACCTGCTTTACCTGAATCGTGACGCATTCAGCGGCTCCAAACCGCTTGCCAGACTTTGTAAGTCCCAACGAAACCACAATAGGGCTATGAGCATTATTCATGAACAAGCTTTCACTGGTAAGACTGAAGATTTCGCCAGTACGTAGCATGCCATAGAAACCAACCAGAAGCGACACTGCAAACGCAAAGTTCTGATGAAAAAAGGAATACCCTAGCAAGGTCTGCAAAACCACCAAGGGAAATGGCGGGGCGCGGTTTGGCAGCTCATTAACATGCCAGGTCTTAAGAAGCCGCCAAGTGCACATCAGCTGACCTTTGAGTCTTGGATCTAAGTGTTGTAAACCTGCAACAGTATCAGATGCCAAGCCACGGCCCTCCCCAGAGGACCATAGGAATTCAATATATTCTGCAACCAGTGCGTCAAGTTTGTCTGGGAATGGCAAGATTTTCTTTTGCCAAAAACGAGTGAAACTTTTTGCGTGCGTTTTCGTAGCGTTGGCGGGTTTTTTCACTTACTGACAAGTTTTTGAGGGTACCTAATGTTTTTCCGGACTGTAGCCCTTCAAGCCTGACTGCGGCCTTCAACATGTTGCTTCACTTTCCCCATTTCTTCTTGACATAGCGGCACCGGCGGCTTGGTCGGTCCGCCGGGTTCACGCTTGTATGGACATAACCCCAACAGGGGTGGAGGTCCGCAGCTAGCAACAAGGTGTTTATCCGGATCACGGTACGCCTCATTTTCTTGCTTGAAGTCCGGCCCCGCGCTAAAGCGTGTAGGCATATACAAGACTGTCAGTTAAATGAATAAATCGTTGGGAACGAATACGGCGCTTAACCACCCACCATCGCACTGATGTAAGAATAGCACGCATTT